TATTTTATTTCACAAGCCTCTATTGTTAAATAATTACGATAACGATTTTGTGTATGCGCAAGAGTTTAAACAATGCATTTAAAAAGTGATCAACTAAATAATATATTATCTTATATTATCATATTTCTTAGATATTACTCGAAATAACTGCGCACTTAGCATAAAAATTATTCTCCAGATTTTTATTCAGTTTCTAAAATTATCTGCTACTTGTAATAATATAATAATATCATAATAATCGAATCAATTCAAACAAGACTATCGTTTTTTAACCCTTTGCACTCGTATTTAAATCTAAAAGCCAACAGAAACACTCGAAACTTCCTCTTTTTATAAGTTGCTGATAATTATAACGAACGTATACAGTTGGTGTTGCATAATAGTATAATATCTGAACAGACTAGAGTGAAAGCTATAATAACGACGCAAGAAGAAATTTCTGAAGACAGTCCTGAGTCAATTGGCACTCAATAATTCACGTAAATTGGACTTTTTATCGCTTCTTGCGAAAAAATGATGAAAGATATTATGTTTCCAGAGATTGAAACTATTTAGGTATCATTAACTCTTGTACTCTATGATATTTGTACTCTAGCAAACTGGCAATACACGTTGACGATTGCTTTAAATTATATATTACAAATATATTGTTGTATACCATTTGAATGATACTTCGTAAATGAATCACTGATAGATGATACAAAGAAAGGCTGTCGAGGGCAAAAGGGTTAAAATTCGAATTGAGATTCCATTTCATTTTGCTCGGAACTTGCTTCCTCTTTCAAATCGAAACTTCGATTATCGATATTATAAGACAAGGGGGATTAAAGGCAGATGTTTTTCAAAATTCCAATTCCTTTTTCTAAACTTAATGTTGCACGAAATGTCGAACGTTCCCTGTATTTCGAGAATTTCATTTTCATCCGAAGAGTGCCGCCTTTTGAAATCGAAAAGCGTTCCCGATATTTTTCGGTGTCAATTTGCAATCTTCTCTGAATGTGGAACATCGACGAGAAGCGGAACACACGCCACAGGGTACAGACGACATCGAACGTTTTACTGTCTATTTGCAGGATGTTAAAGCTGTCATCACGCATTCCATTCACAGCACGTTGAACTCGATTGGTGGCATTCAAGTGTTGTTCCCTTTGTTCTCGCAGCTAGATATGCCTTACGATTGCATAGCGCCGAATGACGTCAAGCGAGATCCAACGTTATGGTAATTATCCGACGACGAGGGTTGGGTGAAGGAATCGGTGGCGAGGGCAGGGGACTGTTTACGTTAAGATTTTCCACTCGTGGTCGCGCGTAATTGGACAAGTTGTATTTTAGTTCGAAACTGTTGGGGTTTATCTGCGACTTGGTGGAGAGTTCGCAAACCGTTCAGCAACACATGGTGCAGAACCGTGGATTCCTGGTGATCAGCTATATGCTGCAGCGAGCGAGCAGGGATCATCTGACGACGGAGGTGCTCGCGTCATTTTTGGAGCTGACGAAACACCTGGTCACCTGTCTCAGCGCCAACAGCGACTTGTTATTGAAACAGGTATCGATTCAGTCATTAGTTCGGTCCTCCCGTTACCAATTAGAGTTAAATTAGAGCCGAGAGAGTAAGAGTAATTAGCGTTAACTTGAATTGAACGAGTGGTAGAGAGTTCGCCGAGCTAGTAGTAGATCGTCGAACACTGTCGATGGAAATCGGCGATCGGCTTTCACGTCGTTTCACGTAGATCTACGAACACGAGAATGGACGAGCTTAGTTTGCACGAAAGTAGACGAATATGTACAACGAATATTCTCATCGTGAATGTACTCGTTCTACGTGAATAACACGTCAAACATTTGGTTGAAATAATTCGTGCTCGCTCATGCATACCTGTTTGACAATATTGAAATAACAACGTTAACAACTTTCTTTGTGATTCAACTACTCTTTTCAGAGTAAAATTGATGATTATCGTTGATTTCTGTTTTTACAGGATGAATTATTTTAACCAATATATATATTTATTAATATATATTGTAATAATACGTAATATATATTTATAATATATATTGATTAATTGATTAATATATAATAATGATATATATATATATATA